CACCTCTCAGACGACTATTGGAGAAAGGAGTAGTCTGGCGTTGGAACAAAGAACAGCAACAAAGTTTTCAAACACTCAAGCAGATGGTAACCAAATCTCCGGTACTGGCTACTACAACCAAAACAAGCCTGTCACCCTCAACGTTGACGCTTAGTGCTAACGGACTTGGTGATATTGCTACAAGAGAACAAACCGATTGCATATGCTTCTAGAGCCTTTGACTGTTGCGCAGCAGAAGTTTGCACAGATTGAGAAGGAGTTACTTGCAATAGTTTACGCCTGCCAAGTTTCATCAGTACGTTTATGGACGAACAGTGCACGTGGAGTCTGACCATAAACCGCTCGAAAGGATCTTAGCACAGAATCTTCATCAGGCACCTCCGCGATTGCAGAAGATGATGATGAGCCTACAAAGGTATGACCTCAAGGTTACATACAAGCCTGGGAATGAAATGCAACTAGCAGATACCCTTAGTCGCCATTGCTTGCCAGAAACCAAAGAAACGCTCGTGGAGGACTTAGAAGTCAGTGACGTGTGTCTCACAGCTTATCTTCCCATCTCACAGGAAAAGTATCTAGAGCTTCAACAAGCTACAGCAGCAGACCCAGTATTTGCAGTCCCTAACTGACACAGTACTAGAGGGATGGCCAGATAGCAAAGCAAAAGCTGTCCCCAGACCTCCGACAGTACTGGGCGTACAAAGACAAATTTCAGTCATTGATGCACTGCTGTTTAAAGGCCGAAAGTGATAGTGCCTCACACCTGCAGTCAGAAATGTTAGACAAAATACACGAGGGGCACTTTGGGGTTGTCAGGTGCAAACAGCGAGCGAGAGATGTGCTGTTCTGGCCAGGGATGTCGACGCAAATTGAAGACAAAGTAGCCAAGTGCTATACATGCAGTCAGCACCAGGACAGCAAGCCAAAGAACCAATGATACCACATGATTCCCAAACAGGCCATGGGCAAAAAATAGGCTGGTTTGTTTGAAATGAACAGTCATCACTACTTGTGTACTGTTGACTATTATTCTAAGTGGATGGAAGTAGACCAACTCGAAAACAAAGCAGTAAGGCGACAGTTAATGCACTGAAGAAGCACTTCTCAAGATATGGTATACCCGATGAAGTCGTAAGCGACAATGGGCCTCAGTTCGGAGCAGCCGAGTTTGCGGGTTGCAAAGGACTATGAGTTCACGCACACAACAACCAGCCCTCACTACCCGCAATCAAATGGACAAATTGAAAGAGCAGTTCAAACAACCAAAAACTTGATGTCAAAAGTCCGTCGACATAAATAAAGCCCTGCTTAGCTATCGAACCACGCCACTTGACGCAATTAACAAGTCCCCAGGTCCAACTGATGATGGGTCGACGTCTGAAAACAACATTACCTACCACTGCAGAATTGTTGAGACCGCAAGGACAGGAAGAAGTAGTCGGGAAGCTCAAAAAAGTGAAAGAAACGCAAAAACATTATTTTGATCGACACTGTGGACGGGGTTGGAATCACTTCAAACTGGAGATACTGTCACGATGAAACACAGACAGTGGGTACCGGCTGTAGTGTCCATACAAACATCACACATCCTAGATCTTACGTAGTTGAGACAGCAAGTGGAAGGAAATATCGCAGAAACAGACGACACCTCAATCGCAACAGGGCACCAGGAGAACAGAAATTTGAGGCCAGACCAGAGCAGACTGAGATAACCTTACCTCCAACTAACGTGCAGAGGGAAACCGCTAAGCCAGTAGCTAAGCCAAGCCAAGCCGCTAAGCCAGTAGCGGCTGCAGAAGACCAGGTCGGGACGTTTGGTTAAGACCCCATCATACCTAAAGGACTGTTACACTTGAAGGAATGGAGCAATTGAATGGAACGTTGAATGCTGAATGCGAACTTGTGAATTTGAACTTACGAGTTTTTTGAACTGATTTCGAACTGATTTTGTTATTTATTTTTTTTGTGTGTGTTTATTTTCCATTGTTTATTATTAGTTCGGTTTTTGTTGGAGAAAGAGATGTGATGTATGTTAATGCCATGCCTGTACTAGGCATGACGGGTAACTAATTAAATCAGTTGTTACACTCAACATGGTGTGGTTTGGTCGTACATTACACCTGATTCATTATTTTAAAACCTTTAAATTAATATTATTAAATGTCTAAATGCTTCTTGTTGTCTGTAGTTTTCATCACCAAAGAAAAGATAAATTATTAGGTGAGTATAAACCTGTCTTGTTTCTCCCATGCAATTAACACTAAGCCAAGCTGAAGGAAGACAGTGAAGGATAACACCCTTTACTGCGTCAGTTAACTGTGCAATAACTAAGTTAGGTTTCTCAATAAAATATTCACGACACCTGATAATATTCCTCAACTCCTTTCAATGCGGCTGTTAAGGTAACTTTTGAGCTTCAGGTGCAGAATTAAAAATTGCAAAATCGCATGCTAAATTAGGGGCGGACCATTAGGAAACGTATCGTGTGTGTGTGTGGGGGGGCAAGTACAATAAAAAAAATTCGCACAAGGGAAAATTAAATGAAAAAAAATTCATGCACGCCAATTAACCTAAAAAATATTCATGCTATAGCCTAAAAAAAATTCACAAGGAATTTGATAAATGAAAAAAAATTCCTGCGGCTCGAAAATTCCCCACCCCTCCTCATAATTTTTTCTAATGGTCCGTCCCTTAGTGGATTTGGCACACTGATTATCACCATGTCACTGTCACGCTCCATCCAACTCCCTCAATACAGCAAAGTCATTGTCTTCAGGCACGCGTTATTTCGATTCCCCCAAATTTGGCCCACAAAGTTAATAGATTTAGCCAAATATGTGCTTACTTCCAGCTCCCGGGGTGTTTTAAGTTTTACGCAACGATTTTTCAAAAGGCGTCGCCACTGGGGATTTATTTGTCGCGGTTTTTGCGAAGAATGAAAGCTTGTATCGACGAATTTCAACCAAATACTGCAAATACAAGTCAAGCAAATTATTTTGAAGGATTCTGGAGGATAACAAGAAAACAAACACGAAAATGGAGATAACAAAACAGTAAGAATCTTTGCGTGCCGATCGCCGATTCGTCTAAGTCTGCAACACAGGTTGTCGAAACACAATGAATTCCTTCCCGGTTGGCCTTCGCTTAGCTTTTTGCCGTCAAATCCTTGCTTATTTTGATGAATTATATCGACAAATTCATGCTTGTTTGTCTTTTTAACAACCTCGTTCCCACGGTTCTCTCCCAGCCCGGTGGGAGAGAACCGGGGTAAAGATTGGTCTTTAACTCGATATTTCGATGGAAACCGAAGAAAAACAAGCGTCTGTGTAAAAGTAAACCACTTGAGCACGAGGGACGCCGATGTATAGAATGTCATTATGCTAATTATGATAATCCGATTAGTGACTCTGATAGCGTCTAAAAATAAATTTGTTCCAAGTTGCTCTATATTTTCGAACGATTTTCGGGTTGTTTTGCTTAGGTTGTTACTACCATATTTACAAAAATAGACACATTTCATGGCAAAATGACATTCTTTATAAATTTGAAAAATTTTTGGCAGAAATATGCCTGGTTAATCTTTTTTTGCAGAATATTATGGGTTTCCTGAGACTGAAATATTTTTTTCTGAAAGTTTAATCTTTGCCCTTTCAATGAGGTATAGCTTTATATGGAATTGTAACTAACAACAGAGATATAATTTTTAAAGTTGCATGGTCAAAAAATACTTAAATAACCCTCCGGAGACACTATAGCTATATAGTAGACATGTATAATACAGCGATTCAGCCTGAGACCGGAAGTTGCATGAAAGGGAGGCCTAAGGGCTATCTTTCGCGCGAATCTCAAAAATCATGGCTGAAGACACCGACAGTTTGCATGGAAGACATGAAATGTCTTCTGATGTAAACCTTACACCAGAAGACATTCCATGTTCATCCGTGAAAAATGGAAAAGACATAGGTAAATGGACAATTCCACAATTGAAAGACTGAACCAATAGGGACTGAAGAAAGATTTTGTCGAAAAGTAAGTTTCGCAGCACCTGTCTTACATAAACACTGTTATCTAACGTTCCACGTTAGTCAAAAAGAATTTCGTTTTGGCTAAAATCTTGTCTTTTCGGGGGCAGGGGTTAAGGCATTCAACACGATTCCTTACTACAGAGAGAAAGTTTACAACCCTGATCCTGAGAGGAGCTACACGAAAGCAAAGGTTGAAAAGCTAAAGACCCTCAATATCGAAACAGTCTAGACTGAGCTGATCGACCAACAAGCAAGCTCGTGTAGTTCGATTTTAGACACTTCACTGACACTTTCCCACCGGATGAAAACACTCAATTTTCAGAGGTTTTTTTTTTTTGCCCTTATTTGTGCCTATGGATGCTTTTGAGCAGGTACAAAATTCCGGTAAATCCATGAAGAAATTTACCAATGCAGCAGTTGTTATAAACTCAAATGACAAAGGCCTCCGTATGGTCAATTTTGTGCGCGATTTACAGGTGTATAACAAAACGGAAAATAACAACATATACGTCCGTGCTTGCTGTTGGGCTTCCTATATGAGGAATGTTAAATACAAGGTGAAAATGGTTTGTAAACAAAGCGGGAGCCCAAAGATTCTAGCAGCAAAGTGTGATAGGCAGTGCCCGGATTCCAACAGTGGGTGTTGTTGTCATGTTATGGCGCTCATATGGAAACTTGAGGACATGACGAGAAAGTCAGAGCTAAAAAATATCACTCCTAACAACAGATGCTGCACAAGAAAACCGAGGCAATGGGGAAAAGGGGGGTAGACGAGAAGTAGAGTCCTCTCCAGTAATGACTTTAAAAATAACAAAACCAAGACATGCGTCTGACTTACCTGGTAGGAAGAAAAGGAGTATTGACTCTCAGTTTTACGATCCCAGACCACTGAAATCACAGAAGCTTGATGCTGATGGAATTGTAAAGCTGAGGCAAGATCTTTAGAAAATAAATGCTCGTATACCCTTTGCTGCTATGTTACCAGAGGAAAAGACAATTCAAACAGTAATGACTATAGTTGGCACTGTTGCTAAAGGTTCAACAATTCATAAGCAACTTCAAGATTATTCTCAACAGCCTCCAAATTTGGTAGTACCCTTTTTTAGTAGTTCCTCCCTTGATGGTAAAGAAAATGTGAATCCTGTCTCAAATGGGCAAGCACTGAATTCAAATTCAAGTTTGAATCATGAAATCTCTGCTCCACCTTCCACTGTGCAGTGTGAATCAGAAATGGCACCCCTTAGCACTCTTTCTAATGCTTATGATGAGCTACAGCTTCAGTAGATATCAGATTGTAATGTTAATAACCAACAGTAAGAACAGAATATTTCAAGTTTTATTGAAAGTACAATTGATCCATCTGAAGTACCACTGCCAACAGTCCAAACAGAAACATTATTTATTGAAACTCTTACAGAAAGGCAAATGCAAATCGAAATGGCAACAAGAGGACAATCAATGAATCCTGCTTGGTTTGAACAAAAGCAAAACAGAATAACTGCCAGTATCTGTAAAGATGTCTTTTCTCATATGCAAAAAGAAGGGGTCAAAAATTACCAGAAAATCTATATAAAAAAAAATTACAGCGAAAGGAGCACCGCAAAAAAATGGTCAGCTACTCACAAAGGATTGATCTTTGGTGTTGAAAATGAACCTGTGGCAGCTGATTTGTACAAAAGAATATCTCTTGTCACTGCCAGACATCAGGAAGTGACAGTTCAAGAGACTGGATCAATTTTAGACAAAGATGATGATGTTCTTGCAGCAAGCCCTGACAGAATTGCAACAATAGTGTATGCCAATGGTGACATTGAATACAGAAATGTGGAAGTAAAATGTTTAGAGTCCAAGCAGGATATGTCACCAGAGACTGCAATAAATAATCATCAAAAGGAAAGCAGTTTCCCATTTATGGAACTGAACTCTGTCTTTGTAGTAAAAGAAAAGCACAAATATTGGTTTCAGTCCCAGATGCAAATGGGGGTCAGTGGAATTCCATTAACTGACTTTGTCATATTTACCAGCAACACATTTCCAGTTTTGGTTCTTAAGGTCACATCATCGTCAAGGTGGGACGACGAATTGCTTTTCACGAGAAATATATCTCAAAATAAAAACAGTTGTGTTTTTAGAACTGCAAAGCAACACTATTAGTTTCTTGGAAAATATAAGTTGACTCTAACAAAATCTCTGTGTGCTTTAGTATGTTCTAAAGCACAAGGAATGGTATTCAAGTTATACTTTACAAGTGATGGGATGGTGGTGGTAGGGAAGGTGAAACTAGATATTTTTGTGTATTGTTTTTGAAAATTTTGACTTTTATTTTTTTAGGATTTGTCTTACAGATAGACTTTTAGTTTTGAAAAAAAGACAGATTTTGGTTTTACTTTCTATATTATATCACCATCATCATTATTATAACAAATATATTTTCGTCAATCACAGTCAGTCTCCATCAGTTTTAAATTTGAGTACCCAATCTACCCATGTGCATTTGATAGAATAATATTATTTTTGCATTCACTTTTTCACATATCAAGTCCTCCAATTATTGAAAAAACCCGAACCAGAGACTTATACAAACAGCTGAACAGCTTCAGAATCTTTAGTTTAACATTCAATTCCTAAAAAACACACTTGTTAGTTCCCTGATATAAGAACCCATCCCATCCAAAAAACTGAAAGTTTCCTTTCTTTAAACTGTAATAATTGGATATTGAAAATTTACTAACAAAGCACATACAGTCCAGATCTGATTTATGGACCCAAAGCTGGAAAGAGGCAGAACTTGACTAAAAATATGCTAAGCCTTGATTCGCTTAATTGCTCTTTCCACATGAATACGCACATTTGCTATACTCATGGTCTCAAAACACTGGCTTTGTGTGAACTGGTCATTGACAGAAAATCTCTTTGGAGGAATATATAAACTTGCTCCTCTGAGGCCCATTAGGTCATGGATTTCAAAGCCCTTGTCGGCGGGGTACTGGTCCCCCATTTCAATTAACTGACAGAAGTTACTCTTCTCCACAATTTCCTTATCACTTATTCTTCCTAGATACAACTGACTAACAAATGTTATCCATCCACTCGGTGAAATGCAGATGAGCCCTTTAAAAGTGTCGTGAGATTTATAGTCTGAGTACATTTCTGAGTGCTTCTGATAATCCTTGGGAAACTCACATTTCAGCTCTGTGCAATCATGAATTCCACGTACGTTTTCGTACCTTCCATTAAAAAGAATCTGGCAAGTTTTGTTTTATTTTGTCTCTTGAAGGCCATAAAGGCAAACTTCCCAACATTATGTAAAGGTAGTTTGCCCAAGTAATAAAAACATCAGACACGGTACTTACAGAGACACTAAATCTATGAGCCAAGTCAAATAAGCCAAGACGCACCCTTGTTAGAAACAACCACAGCTGATCGATGGGCTCTATTTCTCTCTTTCTATTTCTTTGTTTCTCCTGTCCTTGCAAAAAATGGATTAACATTGTTTGTGGAGCTTTCTTTCACTCTTTCGCGTGCTGTGTTCCACGACATCAGAGACTCAGAGCAAGGTTTAATAAAGTTCCAAAATGCCTTCAAAGCTCGGTGACTCTGAAATCCCGTGTAGAAAAATATGTCATCATCATTCGATCCAAACCGCTCCAAACCAAATTTTCAAAGGAACAGCTTTTGTTTAAGATCATAATTCTCGGCAACCAAGTCTCTCTCTTCTTCGAATGGTTTTTCACCTGAATCTTCCTCTTGAGTCTCCTTGGCAGAGATGTCAGGTGTATCGTATGAGTGATGTTTATTTTCGATACTCTTGGAGGGGATCGCTGAAAGTTTAATCCTTTGGCATTTCCGACTTTTGTCTCTTTCGGACCTTTCAGAGGCTTCGTCATTGCCAACCGACCATGGGAAAATGGAAGGAACAGCATTCTTTACAAGATCACGTCTTTTGCCGGTAAGGCTTTTCCTGTCGGTCCTTCTCACTAAAATGTTCAGAACAGCAGAAGAGTGAGCTGTTCGAGGCCAATTTTTTTCCAAGATTTTCGTCCAGAGGGAAATTATGAAAAATTAAATCTGGTCGGTTATCTGAACGATTATTGCAAAGAACAGCCGCGCAACACTTGTGACACGAATTCTTTTGTTTACTGGAGGACGCCATGTTTATGAGTAATCGCGCGAAAGATAGCCCTTAGGCCTCGCTTTCATGCAACTTCAGGTCTTAGGCTGAATCGGTGTATTACTAGATTAATGGGAGAAAGTCGAGCTAACAATTCTTGGTTAAAAATAATTAGACTTCTCTTTGAAATATATAGGCTTAAAATTGGCGTGGTAAATGTTTTGCAAATATACTAAATAGCGCATTACACTAATGACGTCACAAATTTCTGGTCCCTGCTGTGACTCAGACATTGAACCTGACCAGTATTCTCGGTTTTCAGTGTTACGCAATCAAAAATTTAATTGCGAACCATTTAATACAGAAAGTCCAGAATATAGGAAATAAAAAAAAAGATAAATAAGCAAAAGACCCCGCCAAGAATCAGGTCTGTGCGATATTCATGTGAGATATTTGGAAAAACGTTTTACCCAAATTTAAAAAGTTTTGCATGGAGACGCCATGCTCGCGTCCCTTTGAGGGGCACAAATGTGGCAACCGGAAATTAAACCAACAGAAACATCTGTTTTTGAGTTTTCCTACTAATGCGTGAATTTATCGCTTGAAAAATTCATAAAGGGTTAATAAAGGGATATTCATTCTGAGACAAGGAATGTTTAGATGGCAAAATCTCCCAAAACTGGTAATGTTTTTAACCCTCATAAGAGCCTACCCGGCTGCCATCTAAATGCCTCGTCACGCAAAAGCCTGGAAATTCAAACGTCGTCTATCGCAATTGAAGAACCCTTTCGAACAAAACTTTGTTTAAGTGAAGGTGTTTAGGTGCTGTAATACCTCATGAAGCTCAGAAGAATGGATAGTTTCTTAGTTTGAATTTTGGTGACGTCATGTGAAAACCGGGAATAAGAGTCTTGTATGGGAAAGTCACATTGGCCAACAAATTTCCGTCGTCTTTGAGGATTTTTGTCGTTAAAAGAAACAAAATACAGCTTGGTTTCGTTAATATATATCTTGAAAATTATCAACGCGTGCCAAGACAACGTTAAACATGGTAAAACTGTAGATGAGTGATTTAAAAATTTGGAACATAACAATTTTTTATCTTGTGGCCTGAATGTTCGTGTCGACCATAATTTCAAAAACGATTATCGGCTATTTATAGTCTCAGTGCAGTGCGTGGATCGATTGGGATAGGTTAATTTAATAGGTTAATTCTTTTTAATTATAAGCTGCTGGTTTGACTGTTCGAGAAGACTTCTCGTTTTTCATGCAGCGGGCGTCTGGAAAAAGCAAGAAACCGGAATGCAGAATAGGAACAGGAATGGGAACAGAAACCGGAACCGGAAACGGAACAGGAACAGTGATCTAAAGGGGAACCAATACCTTAATTTATTTTAATTCTAATTCAATTTATATGAAAAATAAAGAAAACTATTCTGTAATCATGCTCCTCCTGAGTCTCTTTATATTACGGCAAAGAGAAGGTAAAAAATGCTGCAAGTTTAAGAGCAACTCCATGCAAATATCGACCAAAGTGCGGCAAGGCTCAAAAATAAAAATCGCTCTCCTTTGCATACTGATGAACTTAAAGGGGCTATGTCACCCAACACGCATGCGCGAGCCAATGAAAACAAACTTGAAAAAAAGACAGCCCAACTTTTTTCAAGTTGTGTCGAAGATTTTGGAAGGCTGTTTTTATCTGTCTAAATCTCAGCCATCGTTCGATAGTTAGCGAAGTTTTGTATTAAGAATCATTCTATGGTGATTACAGAACAATTTTTGGCGTTATTTTAAAATTGTTTGCCTGTGGAATGTTTTACGTGGATTTACTGTGTCCTCTTATCAGCGGCCGTTGTAATGGCAAAGTTAATGACGACTACTCCACAATGAGTGATGGAATCTTTGATGGAATCTTCCTATAGTTCACAGGACCTTTCTATTGAGTTATTTTAGAGGCTGCTGGCTCTTGGATTTTTCTTGTGCTCGAAGTATGTGGACATATAATGAAGCGGCTATCGAGTTGGCGGCGGCCGTTTTTGTAAACGATTACAAGAGCATCAGGCCATGAGTTTCGTGACGAAACTCAACTCCTAACGAAGGAAACATTCTAAAATTCGGCTAGATTCCTTCTTGTATTTATCTCGATTCACGGCAAAGATAAACACGACCGTTTGCTCGTCCAGATTGTTCTCAACGGACTTAGAGAGGTACCTTAGTACGAGTTAGATCCTGTAAATGCCATGTTTTTTGAACTGTTTGTGTTGGAGCATAATTTTGGAAAATAGCAGAGTTTGCTTTCCCTTTTTTATCAACGGACTGCTTATAGTGGAGTAGTATACCAATGATGCTGGGTTCTGTTTTTCTCGACGTCGCAGTGATTCGGCACGATCGAACAATTTTGCGCGATAATGTATGTTTCCCTAAGATCAAAACAAAGACTTGGTCTCTTGTTCTATCAGCATCTAAATTATAAAATCAATAGCGACAGACAAGTCTAATTGTTAATGATTTGAAACAGTCTTGGTCTTTATCTTCGGTCTAGCGTCTTTTGTAGCTCGTTTGTAAAATACAACTTCCATTTATTTTGTTGAATAAGACAATATGTTGTTGTTGAATTTTGTTTGCGCTCTATTTTATGAATGGCATGCGTTTTACTTCAAAACTACAAGTAAAATTGTCGTCGCAATTTTATTCTTGATCTAGCATAACCAGAGAAGAAACGTTCCATAAATTCTATCGAAATATCCCATATCTAAACCCATTTCGCTAAACCTCTCTAAATTCGGAACCTTGGACGTGACAGAGAACATGAAGAAAGTCACGCGTTAAAAACAATAGAATTTTGACAGTTAAAAGTAATTTGCATAACCTCACAGCGCACATGGAGAAAGTCACGCGTTAAAAACAATAGAATTTTGACAGTTGAAAGTAATTTGCATAACCTCAGAGCGCATGCTCTCCAGCTGACATAGCCCCTTTAAGTAAGTCTACAAACGCCATGTAGTTTTTTCTTCTAAAGATCTGTTCGTTTCCGAGAAAAACAAGAAAAAGCCCCGCCGTCGATTTCGCAAGCCGAAAACAGGGTTGAAATTCACTATGATTCGCTCGACTTGCATTTCAAAACTACGCGTGCTTGTTGCTAAAATTGTAAGTATAACTCGTCGTTGACCAAAATATATAATATTTTTAGCATTACAACAGTCTGAGTAATTATAAAAAAGCTAAAGCGTACGTCTACCTGTTGTTCATTCACGGAAGGTAGTTGAAAAAAGTGACGATTTTCATCATGTGCCTTTGATCAGAATTTCTCAAGATTGAAGGGGAAAACACTACAAGCATCAAACTATTATGTTATGTTAAAATTATTTTGGGGAAATCATTTTGAGCTTCTCAGAAATTATTTGAAATTCGTGTTACAGACAACATAAAATAACGCCATCCAACACATGAGTCACAAGACCAACAATTTGACTTTAGGTTTCCGTTTACAACGCTGGTAGCCTTGATACATAGAACAATTTTTTTAAAAAGCTCACCTTAACCTATATCTGTTGTACTTCAAGCTCCAAGTTGTTTCATTTTGCCGTCTTATCACCAATGTTACCGTAGTCGTGATGTCCGCTGGAATGTGTGCGTTGGAGGTGCGTGGCAGCTTTCTGGTAATTTTTTCATCCCTCTCTCTCCATCATTTTCTCTAATGTTTTCAAGTTAACATCTCATGTTTGTTAAAAATTTTGAGAACCCTGGACCTTAAAAAAGCCGTCTATAAAATAAAGCTCGGTAGTTTAACAAAGCAAAGTTGCTTGCCCGTGGATCCGTTCACTTCAATTAATCTCATTTGCGTAAGAGTGTGCCTGGGAGTGTGCCAAGGGTCTACGTCCGGTGATATACACGTGACGAGCTTAACCGACTTTCACCCGCTACTTCCAATACACTGAAGAAGCTTCATCTTTTATACTCCTCCTTCTTCAAAAATACTCCAGTTGACATTATTTTACCTGAGAATTATCTCGTTTAATATTTTGACATTTTAGGCATTTATATGCTACGCCAAAAGTGACAAAATATCAAAGATGCGACTTTACAATTCAAATCCACCAAATCACTATCAAGATCGATAAAATTAACGTCAATTTGCTTTTTGAATGTGTCAAGATTGTAGAATTTAATTTCAATTCCCACGTGTTTCATGTCATGTATCAAGAGACACGTTTTCTAAATCAAGATGCATGTTTTTTAAATCAAGAAGGGAGACGACAATTTTTGATCAGTTTTGTTTCCAAGAGGGACTGAAACACAAAAATCTGCAAGGCTCCATGAAAAATCCCGCCCATTCTTGCCCATTCCCGCGCTAGACAGGGCAGAGAAAGGAATCGAAGAACTTGTGAGAAGAATCATTCGATCAGCACAAGAAGGAGTTGACACATCGCGAGCTAATGTGGCCTCAAACGAGTCAACACCTGACGAAGAACTGAGGCGGTGGTTTAAGAACGAGATAGGCTCGATCAGATAGAAAGCAGAACAGGCTCTCGTAGGAACGCTGGTGAAATATCACCACAGGCTCGCAGAACGATTAACAAACAAGCTTCCTAAACTCGAACAGTATAAATCTCGTAGGAATACTGTTACTAAGCACACGTCTCACCAGAAAACGCAATCACCAGCTAGAAAGAAAACTGTGAACAAAGATGACAATGTAAAACGAGCTAGCCGAAGAATTGAAGACCAAGATTAGCGAAGTCGATGTATTGTTAGAACAAATGAGATCACAATTGTGTGCGAATAAACAAAGTGAATCTTACTCTTGTCTCTTATCAGACTCCTTAGAAGTAAGGGGAAAAGGGAAAGCAAACCGCAGAGATAACAAAGCGGCCAAAAACCGCAAAAGAAAGGAGCGGAGAAAAATCAAAGACAA